TATCTTCTGAAATGCTCATCTTGTTGAATGTTTATTTGCTATTTAAAATCATACACTGTGCTTAGGCTATTGTGGAAAGGTTAAATAATTCAGGTTTTCTACTACAGCTTTTTGACTTCAGCATCAAAGGATTTTTTACAACTACATCTCCTGCAGCTGGCCAAGTCAATGCATTTTTCTTTTCCATCTTGCAATGGCTATAGGTTAACTAGAAAATAAAAGACTATCTCCTGAGCTATAAGGAAGTTTGGCTTCTTTCACTGTGAGGGAGACAACTCAGGCCCTTTGTTAATCATTGAATTAATTAATCAATGAAATACCTGTTATCATTACAAATTTCTGAGTATGAAACATGGCATTCGTGTTTATTCTTTTTTTAGATATCTGTTCCTATGTCATGCCTACGTAGGAAAGAAAAATGTAATGAAGCAGTAGGAAAAATTACATGTTCTTCTGGAAGCACAAATATGACAAAGGAACAGAGAAAACAAATACATAACATACTTTTTTACATATGGGGTAAATGAGACAAACATTCAAGATTATGATGCTTATGCAGCCCCAACTTTATTATGTTGGCAATAGCCATATTCCAATAATATTAAGTTTATTTTAACATGACTCTTAAAAAAAGACAAAAAATGAGTATCTTAAACCATTAATACACTAAGTCTAATAGATACAAATTTAATAATTTGGTGCAAAACCTGCCCATAATTTAATTAACTCTGAATATGAGGTACTGCAAAAATATACAGTTTGATACAATGCCAAAAATCATTCCTGTAATACTGATGGAGTGTCCGTGAGTTGCACCGTACATGGTATAAAAATAAACAGGCTGTAAAAACTGATCTTACTACTCTAATATCTTCAAGAAATGGCTAATAAAAATTGTACATGCACATTCTATACAGTTAAACCTAATCCTAGACTAGTTATGCGCTAAATCTGCTCTTAGCCCTAACTAGAAATGAATGAGTTCATACTTCATGTCATGTCATTACACAAATGAACAAACACAATTGAAATGAGAATCGTCCTTCTTGTCGAGATCAAATCCTGTTAATTAGAATAAAAAAAAATCAAGGTAATTATAGGGAGTTTTTTTGTGTGGAATGTTTACCACTAAGTGTAATATCATCTCTTAACCAAACTGCTAATTTTTCTTTAATTTAACAGAAAAAGGAAAATTAACTTCTCTTTAAAAAAGTAAAATACAAAATGTCAAGGTATACTTTAGCTTTGGAAAATCACCAGAAAAACCCAAATTAAGGCATGAATTATTTTGAGGTCACTGGAACAATATATATATATTGCTGGGAACACAATATGTCTTCCAGACATGTGTATCATTGGGGATTATTATCCTTTTTTGGATTTTATTAATTTCAATATTCTATAATTTTCATTCCTTTAAACTAGGTTGCACGAGTTATACCAAAGTGGATGTAACAAGACAATGATGGAAGTCCTCTGAAGAAGGTTTAGGATGGGACCTCTCACCAGTACACATCTAGAACATTCCAGAGTGATCTAGCTCAGAGCAATGCTATTTGCTCAACCCCTTAAAAAGCCTAGCCATACACTGAAGACTGTTTGGTCAACCCTGTAAAATTATGACAAAGAGTTAATATTCTATTTGTTCACAAAGCTGTTTAAACTAGACTACATTTTTTTTTTTTTTTTACTGCATCATTTTTTTTATTTATTAAGTTATTAAGCCTCACATACCCGTTCAAAAATAGGTTCAATAAGGTTAAATGTCCTAATTCAAACACAGTTATGTAAACCAGCATTTCTTCAACATAGTATGCCTACAGACAAGAAAATTGGTCACATTTAAGCTTACCTCTTTAATCACACAATGTGCACACCAACACACGCGCACATACATACACAGACCTCTGTATAGCCTTTGAACTACTTAAAAAAAGTTAAAATAAATAAATAAAAAAAAATTGAGAGAAAGTAGAAGTTGCTGTGAAAGATGGCTCTGTTGTCTAGTTATTTGCAATAAAAGAAAAGAACAAAATTACAAGAAAAAAAAGAAAAATAAAGAAAACAGCTTAAACTAAAGAGGCACACACTCTCTCTTGTTGGTTCATTGTCCTGAGCTAAATTGAAGAGTCGCCTTCAGAAAATTCTTGTGTGTAAAACCAGAAAAGTTACATCGAGTAATAGAGCAACATACCTATGTATGCATGCCTTTGTTAAAAGCAGCATTTTTCTTGTAAAACTGTCTCATTGAAGAGCTAAAGGTTACAGATTTATTTTATAAATTACTCTTTTTAAATTACAATTTCTGAAAAAGTTTAAATTCCTACATAACCACTTAAAAACCTTACTACACATTTATCGTTCTTTACACATATGAGCAGGGATAGTTTTTGGCCCTCACAAACTATCACAAAATAATTAAAATACCAGAAAAATGTGACATTCAGTGTGTTCTGGTTAAAAAGTCAAGACTGCTAATTAGATTATTGAAAACTGTTTTATCCAGAGGGATCAACTGGGGTAGAAAAAGAAAGAAAAAAAGTAAAAGCAAAAAATATTAAAAACTTAAAGGCTTGATAATAGGTACAGCAGCAATTACTGCTTTGTTGCTCCTTTTTGAATAAGGTATCTTACAACATTCTAAAGCTTGTAGAAAAGGAACCTTGCCTGGATAATCTACCCTATTCAGGATCAACAAGGTTCCGAGTAATATTTGTACATCTCTCCCCTGTCCAAACATCACGTAGCTGATGTTTCATACAAAGAGCAGTCTCCTCTACCAATGGCAATCATAAAGTCTAAAATACATGTGTTAAAAACAAAATATTTGTTTCTTCTCTTTTAAATTTTTTTCTGATGATGATGAAACGCTTGGCAGGTCAACTACTAGCTCTGGTGTTTCACAATATGCAAGTGATGAAAACAGGTTCTGGAAAATGGTTACAAAAACTGCAATGCTTGATATAGTTAGGTAATACTGGTAGAAAAAGCTGGAAGGTTTGTTGGTGTGTTGCTTCTCTCTCCCATCGATTCAATAAGATCAACAGAGCATGATGCAATGAAACTCCCAGTAGTGCTGGTTCGTGGCAGTGTGTGTTGTCTTTGATTGTTGTGAAAGGAAACTGTCAGTAATCTTTTGGACAATTTTTTTGGGTCAGGAGGATGTTGGGTAATCAATGTCATTGTTTACATTAGTATTTTGTCTTTTATACTATTTTAAATTCTCATTCTCTCTCTCTAAAATGAATCAAGAACTTAAGTGTTAATGGTCAGGTACGCAAGAAGTTCTGGCTTAACTAGCAGGTATTTGCAACAACATTCCTGAGTCCAAAAAAATGGAAAAATTCCCTCAATTGCAGCTTAAGCTAGTGGCTCAAGTGGCTTGCTAGACTTGCTTTTTGCCCAAGTGGCATGAATTTTTTTTCTTAAAAATAGTTTCTTAAAACTATTTTCCTCTTTTTAGTTGGAAGTTTCTTACTTAACTGAATGTTATTCAGTACTGACAAGAACCTCATTTGACTGGTGTGGCTTTTCTAGGCTTTTCTAGGGCTGAAAAAAGTAACTTCTAAGCCCTGGGTTTATTATTAGCATCTTTCAAAAATTTTCCATTCATTTCTCAATTATCAGAAAAAAACACATCTTCACAACCTTGGTGTTACAATGCAGAAAGCTGACCACTCAATCAGATGAGGTGTAAAACATTTTAACCATGGAATGTGTCTTTCTAAAGGTACAATGATAAATAACAGCCAGATTCTCCTTCCACCATCCTCTCTTCCAGTGTAAAACTACAAAATTCCACTTGACGCACATTTTTATAAAGAGAAAAGATGTGTATATTACTATTATTAGATACTCCCTAAACAATTGCCAAGTTGCATCACAGTGTGTATCTTTTTTTCTCTTTTTATCTCTGAATCTTTACAAAAATTTGTATGTATATATAAAAAAAAGAGAGAGCTAATATGAGAAGAAAAATGAGGTAAGCACCATCAGGAGAATGCGAGCTGTTGCATAAAAAAGTTTTTTTCTTTTTTTCTTTTTTTTTTTTTTTGCTTCCCTCTCCTGACGCATCTTGTGTTTAATGGTAGTGATAGTTGTCTAAAAAGGACATGCTCACGAGAGGGAACAAGAAACGTGACAGGAGTCATGGCTGACCCAAAACCCTTTATCTAGATTACATTGGACATGTTGAAATCCATGAGGGGGGGAAAAAGTTTTGCTCGCTGTCCACATGGGATATTAGGAATATTATCTTTGTGACCAGAATATTGTGTTTTTGATAATGGCTTCATCTTTCATAGCCATAAATACTGAAGGCATTTGACAGATCAAGAGGAACATGGGGAAATCAATGGAAGATCTGTGACCCAAATGACATAAAAAACAAGAAAAGAAAAAGAAGATACTGAAAAACTACATGTAGAAAGAAATGAAAACTATTCTTAAACAATATGAAGTATCTTAATGGTACACAAATAAATGTTAGTAAGAAAAAAGAAAAAGAAAAAAAAAAAAGAAAAAAAAGCTCTATTCTCAAAGCTATTGGCTTCCACTGTCAACAGAACAAATGAACGGAGGAAAGGCAAACCGAGACACACCTATTCTGTCTCCTACCTGCGAATAAACGACTTTTGACAACTTCAAGCAGGTCATTGCGCAAGTTGCTCTGGCTATTCCACATGGTTTGAACTAGGGTAGATCCCAGTCCACATCTCACAACATCGAACCAAGTACCTCTGGGTTCCTTACACCTCTCAAATACACACTTAGATTTGCAGAAAAACAAAACAAACTTACAAATAGCTACTAATCAATAAATAAGAGATCCTGCTCAAGACAAAATTAAAAAAAGGATATGAAAAAACATACAATGCAAGTAAATGGAAAACAATAAAATCCATCAGCCACCTGTGGAATAGCAAAGGTACTGTTTCCTTATCAATATATGTATATATAGATGTAAATGACAGAATGCAACCTAACTCTACTGTAAAACCTCAGCCTAGCATGAGGTAGAAGGGGTAGCTACCCAAAACTACTCAGGGGACTGTTCTGAAACGACTCAGAGCCGCACCCAGGGAGAGATGGACTCCTAGGTCAATGGTCAAGTCAATGGCATCACAAGTTGAGGCCAGTTCTCGCCACTCTCCCTTAGCCAACTCGTTACCTTCCTCATTTACAAAACTGCCATGTTGCCTCTCCTTTTATGTTTGTACCAACAACTGTGTTTTACACTGTTGTCTTTCTTTAATTATTATTTTTTCTTTGTAATACTTGCTACATATTTTTCAGAAGAAACAAAATACAAAATAGGTTGATACCTGGCTGATATATAGATATATATGCGTACTTGTACGTATATACATGTTTGCAACAGTGGTCCTTCTGGAGTGTCTTTCTAATTGTTCAAAAAGAGAAAGAAAAAAATATAAAACAAAAGATAATAATAATAATAAAAAAAAATACCAAAAGCAATTCCTCCTTAGAGGGGAATCTCTTTCAACTTCTCCAAGATTTCCTTGTCCTTATCAGTCTCGTCCCGCACCACCATAATGGTGTGGCCCATCCCGCATGACACCTGACTCACGTGGGCCCCTCCAGGGCTTTCACCTCCTTGGGCTGCGTGCTTGACTTCACATTCTCACCAAGACCCTATGGGCAGAGGGGCAGTAATTAGTGAGTGAGGGGCTAAGTAAATGAGGACTACATTTACAAACAAGTGAGTAGATGCTGTGATGAATTTAGGAGAGTAATTCACAGTTGGGAATACAGAATATCTTCAAAAGGTAATCAAAATCAGACAGGAGTGAGCAAGCATGAGGAGAAAAGAGAAAAGAGAGAGAGAAAAAAAAAGGGAAGAGAGAAATATAGAGAAGGAAAAGAGTAAATGAGAAGTGGACACAGAACAAGAAAAGAAAAAGAGAATGAAAGGACACATAAAAAAAGGAAAAAGATAGAAAGAGACAGGAGAGCAGAGGTAGAAAAGGCAAAAAGAAGAGAAGTGAAAAGTGGGGAATGAAAACTGGACAAAAAGGAAGAAGGAAGGAGAGTGGGACGGAGGGAGGGAGAGAGGAAAGAGAGAAGAAGAATTTAAAGATTCAAAGATTTAGTTTTAATTCCATTTGTTACAAACAATATTCTTTGCTATGACATGCAGTGTTTTATTTTGCCAAAATCTCCCCCTGTGTGGAAGGAATGGACGGAGTTACCATTTCACTAGCCGGGTGTGGATTGAACGCAGCTCGCAATTGCTAGACCTGCACTTACCGCTGCGCAGAGGGGGGGGGGGGGAGAAGAGAGAGAGAGAGAGAGAGAGAGAGAGAGAGAGAGAGAGAGAGAGAGAGAGAGAGAGAGAG